GTGCTGAGGGTTTATCAGGATCCACGTATTTCATAATAATAAAATATGTGACGGAGCACACATGTGCTGCGTCAAGTATGAGTAATGGTGGTCGGACTGCTTCTGCAAAAACTATTGGGAGTCTCATAATGCATAGGTATAATGGTGTCAAAGAAGGTCCCAAAACTAATGATATTATACAGATTATGAGATTGGATAATGGATGTGAGATATCTAAATCATTAGCATGGGATGCTCGTGAGTATGCTATTAATATGGTTAGAGGTATTCCGGAGTAGAGTTTTGGTAAAATTCCGAGATACTTGCACATGCTAAAAGAAGCTAATCCAGGAACACACACATTCTATGAAACCGATGTCAATGGTAAATTCAGATTTCTGTTCGTTTCTTTTGGGCAATCAGTACGAGGTTTTCACACAGCCATGCCGAAAAATGTTGTTGTTGATGGGACCTTTTTGAAGAGCAAATATAAAGGGGTATTACTTGTTGCAACAGCTTTAGATGGAAACTCCAACTTGTACCCTATAGCTTTTGCGGTTGTGGACTCAAAAAATGATTGTTCATGGGATTGGTTTTTCAGACAACTAAAGGTTGTTGTTCCAGACGAGCGTTCTCTTGCTTTTGTGTCCGACAGAAATAGCTCACTTTGTAAGGGGCTTGAGAATGTGTATCCTCTTTCTCAACATGGAATTTGCATTCACCATTTGTTGAATAATGTGGTCACAGATTACAGAGGAAAGGGAGTGGTTGGATTGATTGCAAAAGCTTCTAAAGCTTATAGAGTTGTCGATTTTCAGATGTATTTTCAAGCTGTGTGCAATATTAGTCCAGCCATTGGAAACTATTTAACAAAATCAGATGTCTCAAAGTGGGCTCGTTGCCAATTTCCAGGCTACAGGTATGACATCAGGACCACAAACCCGGCTGAATCAATAAACTCTGCTTTGCGCTCACCAAGAGAGTATCCAGTCATTCCTTTGTTGGATAGCATTAGAGAGATGCTTACTCGTTGGTTCTTCGAACGCC